CTTCTTCTTCTTCTTCTTCTTCTTCTTCTTCTTCTTCTTCTTCTTCTCCTCCTCCTTCTTCTTCTTCTTCTCCTTCTTCCTCTTTCCCTCTATCTACATCTCTCCGTTTCTCTCTGTTTCTCCCGTTCTCTCTTCCCTTCCCCGTTTCCTTTATCTCTGTAAACTCTGCACTCCATCTGCATGGCGGATTTGTCTCCAGCCCACAGCCCTCACCCGCCATGGGATCACACTGTAATCTTAACAGCAATAAAATAGTTTTTAAACATTTTCCACGTAATCCACCACATACAATCTCACGGCAACTCCAAACGTTTTGTCTTAATCCGTGCTGTGTCCCCTGGTGCTTTTCAATGAGCCCACACCGTAAAGAAGGGACTGGGAATGCTAGAGGAGGATAAGAAAAATATGGACATTGTAGTTCAGATATCTGTATAAACTCAAAACAAACAAGTCAGCATTAGCTATATATGGACACCACTTTACAGTTCAGAGTGTTCCCATTTTATTGAAGTCCTCAGAAGCTCATTGCACCATTCAATGAGATTTCCGTGGGCTAATAATACTATTTCCGGACTTTTACAAATCATTCCTTTTAATTTTTTAATTGAGACTTCATATTCTCCAATAAAATAAAGATCAGGATTTTCATAGATCCAAATACTTTTCCATGCAATTCATCTTATCCAACTGTGGGAAACACAATGATGGTTTTCTGGAGATTCTAATGTTCTAACCTTGGGAATTGCTCTGTGCTACATTTCATGGTTAAAGAGACATTGCCAATGTGCCGAAGATTGTGATATGGAGAAATTATCTTTGTTCCTTCAGATTGGTCCAAAGAAATTACAAAGATTGAAGAGGGAGGAGGGGGGTCAAAGTCACAGAAGACACTGTGACATTGAAATCAATTGGGGAGCAGGGGACAGGGGTGTGATGGTAGAAACAATGACATGGTGGGAGACTCTGCATTGCTGCCTTGTAGGTAGAAGACGGAAGTGCCTGTTACTGTTCTTGCACGCATACGGTTTCTACACCTTTGCCTTCTTAGCTTTGGAAACCTTTAAAAGTCTCATGCTGGCATACCTTTTCTCAGAGCAGTTCCCAGTCAAAGAACTGGAGTCATGTTGTTAGTACCCCCATTTTATGTATGGTTATTCATGGGATTCTTTTTTTGTTTGGTTTGGTTTTTCAAGACAGGATTTGTCTCTGAAACAGCCCTGGCTGTCTTGAAACTTACTATGTAGACCACACTACCGGTGAACTCAC